AGTATACTATACTACAACTGAGTTATACAATAGATAAAAATAAATGATAAATTAATCATTTTACATAAAATCTATAATTTTTACTATTTTATGACTTAGTTATAAACAAAATATTATTGATATTTAATTTGAGTATATCCAAAAATCTCAGTTATACATGCACTCTCAATATTGGCACAACCATTAAGTTTATCCTTTCCCTTTTTCAAAAGAAAGAAGATAAAAGGGGACACAATGAGCAAAAGAATCTGACCCCACGTTTAGATTTTGTCCCACAAATGTCATACAAGAAAGCTCAGGCCACAATACAAAGATAGCATGGCAAGTTTCATCTCACTTTTAAGAAAACTAAGGTTAGTTTGTTTAATATTTTTACATATCCTATTTTTATAATTATGAAAATACATATTTGTTTAAATATATCTTTTATTTAATTCTTTTAAACCTTAATTTTAAATTTAATTAAACACCCCAAAAACATTTAAAATTAACAAAAATACCACCATCACCCACATTTATCAGATTTGACTACTACCATCGGAAGAGGCCAGATTGGTGTAATAGCACATACCAGCTGGATCTAGCCGTAGTATGCCAATATAGCATTTTCAGCCAGATCCATAGTGAATCTGGTGAAAAATATCAGATCTTTGGTCATAACTAGTGTCAACGATGACCAGATATGACCGTCGTTGATCATAACAACGCATATCTTTGGCGACAAGCAAGGGCGGTCAAATCTAACCGCAATGGTCAGATCTAGTCAAGATATGGCATTTTCTGGCAGATCCACGGTGAATCGGTTGAAAAAGGCCATTTTGGTGCATGACCGGCCAAATCCAGTTGATACAACGATTCCAGCCACCCTCCAATGGTGATGGCTGGTGCGGTATTTAATAGGTAGGTGGGGTGTGTTTTTTAATTTTTAATGTTTTTTATACGGGGTATTTAGTAAATTAACAAACCTAAGGAGGTTTTTTAATTTTATATTCTACTCGTTATTCCCACCCAACTCTTATTTTTTCAAAATACTATCCAAAATACTAGAACAAACGGACCCTAAAACACTTAATGAACGAGAACTCAACATTTGATACCACATATGATACTTGATAGTTGACTCTTGTAAGTAGTTAGTCAAGTAAGCAATTAGACTCCCTGTTTAGTTTACAGGAGGATGTTACTGAGAAGGTAAAATGTGTTTAGTTACTAAGTTGTTACTATCTGTTACAGTTAGGCGAGTTCAGTTTGTTAGTTACATTTTTAGTATTCTGTTAACAGAGCACATGAAAGTGCTACTTACTGTACAGTCAAACTTGTGAAAACAATACATTTCACGTGAGCTTCTTGACTTTCCCTTTACTTTACTTGTTCTCTTTCTTCTCTCAAGTTTAGTTCAAGAATTGTTATGGTATCAGAGCCATTAGACTAACGTAAAAAATGGTAGATCTATCAAGCTCACTCCCAATCCGAACAACTCGGCCAAAACCAGATCCTCTGTTTAAACTACTGGTAGAACCTCGATTCTAACATTCATTAACTATGTAAGGGCAAAATAGTATATTTCAATTTTTTTTTTTTTTTTTTTCAGTAAAGAATATTTTGTCTTTGCATAAAAAATGTTGTTTCAAATTAGGATTTAATAAACTACTGTTATTGAGGAGAGTATTTCTTGTATTTAAAAGATTAGGATTTCGACCCTACCGAACCAAGCTTAGACTAGAGCACATTGAGTCTTTTCTCTCGCAGGATGACATAAAATTAATGCAAGCCATTGTGCATGTACACTTGTAAATTGTTAAGAGGATATCTTTTTTCTTTTATATTATATATATATATATTATTTTTATTGGGGGGGGGGTTGGGGGGGTAAAACTAATTTATGAAGAATGAAAGAATGTACCCCAAAAAGAAGACCCCTACAAAAGTCAAGTTCCTTAGGGTCCAAATCAAGCAAAAAGAACAGAGAAGATGGATGGATTACAATCCACAAAAGCAAGCATCCTAGCCTCCAAGAGGACTATACAAAATGACCAGCATCTCAAAAATAAAGCAGGCCAACGGGACAAACAAAAACAACAGCTGCACAATTTGTACACAGCAAACCAGCCTTCAAACCGGTCTGCATAAGCTGTACAGAGCAAGTCAAGCAACAAAAACAACCAAGAAAAACACAGCCAGCCAGATTCAAAAAAACACCTACAACAGCCCATACACAACACAAGCCAAAGGCAGAAGGAATAAACCATGCAGCACAATCCCAGATGAAAGACTTCAGGAGATGTATTAAAATCATAGGAAGCAGTGCCAGCAGCAAAGGTACTGCAAAACACACCACACACAAACACACACAAAAGAAGAAGTTAAACTGCCCAGGCTCTCTTCTATATATCCAACTCGTGGCTAGAGTATTTAGACGAGGAAGAAAGTAGTTTGTAGTTTATTTCCATTACTATCGGATTACCGATAATGTTTACATTTTCAGTAAATAATTTATTTCTTTCCATCTATTTATAGATTCTAATCTTGTTTTGCATCTGATAGGATAAACCTTCTTTAAAGCAATATGTAATCTCATTCAAATCATGTATATGTTAAAAAAAAACAAAAAAAAATTCAATTGCTCTACATAATTTTTACTGTGGCATTTTGGCTGATGTCAATGCACTTTGGGTAGCCTGACGTTTAGTTGGACTTAATTATAAAATTAAACATTGTTGATTATTTTGTCAAACTTATATATATTGTGTGTGTGCACTACAGTTGTGTGTGTGCATAGGTATGTCAGACATTTGCATGTTTTAGATTTTTTCGCATTTTATCTTTGAGTGTGTGCACACTCTTTTTTTGTGCTAATATTGCATGTCTAATTTACTTTGGCACATTTTGCGTGTTTTACTTAATAGTTAAAATATTTGTTTTTGCATCTTTTGTGCTATCATTTGAACCACTTACAGGTGTCCTAATATCCTTTAGTAGCCCAGGGAAAATCAACATTTTTCCCCTTTTGGTTATGGTCCTAAATTAAAGCTAAAAAAACATTTCTATTTTTGGACCAATACATGTCAGCCTTTGTTTGCTGACTTGGCCAGAATTGGAGTGCACGAATTTGGGTTTATCTTCTCCATTCTTGCGACTTTGTTTGGCTAACCTTTATGTTTGTTTTTGCTTTGTGCTCTAAAACTTTTAGAGAGTTTATCTCTTAAAGGTTCCCCATATGTTTTTGTGCCAAACACTTATTATCCTTCATCTTTGTTGAGCTAAAAGAAAGTTCATCTTCTTCCTTGTTTGTTTTTCTTTTTGAACTTGAATATCTATTTCGTTGTTGCTTGGAGCATTTCAGAGAGTTGTTCTTGGTTAAGCTCTTTTATATGAGTTTGTGCTAGAAATTTTCTTGTTTATATTCATTGTTGAATGGTAGTTGGAACATGGTTCCTTTGCTGATACTAGAGCCTATCTTCAGCGACTGAAGCCTGGGTGGAGCTCAAGCATTTTCCAGGAGTGAACTTGGTGTGAAGAGATCCGAGAAGCAACAAGACAGTAGAGATTCAAAGGGTAGTGTTTAGTGTAACTAGAACAAAGAATTCTCTTTATTGTAGCTAAAATCAACTTTGAACTATATCTTATAATATTTGTAGATTAGTGTATTTACTTCGATCTGCACGAGGTCACATGGATATAGACTAAAAGTGGATTTAGCAGACCCATGTATATACTGGTGTACTTTACATTTACAATTTCTTATTATTATTGATTTGTTGTAAACCTGTCTGTATTAACACAACTTGGTAAATCATTCCATTGCATCTTTAAAAGTGGGTACCTAAATGTTAAATAGAGTTCACAACTCTAACAGACATGAACAATATATTTAATTTGTTTCCTCCAAATATAGTTGCACCCATCCTCTTGCACTCTAACATTTCCAAAACCAAAAATTGTACGTAAATAATTAATTATAAATGCCCTCTTTCCTTTGCCTTCAGCCACAAATAGAACATAGTACACGAAGCACTCAGAACCTCTACGAAAAGAGAAGTGGTTTTTTTCAATTCATAATTTTACACAGAGGACTTAGTTATAAAGAAAAAGTCTCATAATTTTACACAGAGGATGGAAACTTCATNATAGCTCAAATTTTTGGTCAAACAATAGAAGTTTTAGATAAATAGTATAGTTACAATCTTAAATATAAAAATGATAAATTGCTTGAACATAAAAACAAATTATTTATTCAAAATATCTTTTGTACTCGCTACACCATTTAATTGATAAAACCTTTATTTGGGGTTATCAGCGTTAGTTTCTCAAAATGGGAGGGAAAATTAGTTTCCCACCAAATCTTAGAGATAGAAATACGATTAACTCAAAATTTGCGTATTGACTGTGGACCAATAAGTTTACAAGTCATTAACGTCTCCTATTATAGTAAAACATCTTTACAGTGATACTCTATATAGAAATAAACTCTACATAATCATAAAATTTTTTATTCCCATTTTAGGATAGTTATAAATAAAAATAAATTACACATTATAATAAGTTATAATAATTATAATTCTCGTTTTAAGGAAAGTTTTCTCTACACAGTAATAATTATATGTATATCGTAGAAAAAAATATATGTTATGTTACTTTAAAGGTTTAAGATGAAATAAAATATTTATCTAAAGTTATTTGGGATAATGATTTATGCTTTAGAGTTAATACCACATCTTTTAACTTATGAGTACATTACTGGTTAGCATGGACATCTTTTTGTTAAAGCCAAAATATTTCTAGCGTCTCAAGTATACTTAGAGCTTCTTGGCAAGAATTTTTTTGTATCTCCATACTATCATACTTATGATTATTTCCTTTCTATTTTTGTCTCATTGTGGCAATGATTTCTTCTTCAAATAAAGCATATGTGACTTGTTGTGCATTTGGATGATTGAAAAAGTTATTAATATCCATTCGATTAGTGTAGTGAAGTTGTCAAATATAATCACTCAATTCTACTATGACTCTTTGATTCTCCTCCTCCACTTAATTTGTAACTTGCAATTCATCGATATTGGGGGTCCTAATCTTGCAATATTTAACAATTGGNGATGATATATAGGTATGGAAGCAGCTGAATGCAAATAGGTTAGCACACTTGAAACTTCAAAGGCAATTCGTAATCGTAGTTCCCATGTAAATGGAAACTCCTCATTTTGGTCATGTAAATATTGAAAAAGATTTCCATTAGAAACGAACTCATAGACTAAAAGAGGCACTTCTGTTTCCAAGCAACACCCTACTAATTGAACTACATTTCTGTGACTAATTTGTGATAGCAATATAACCTCATTAATGAATTCTTCAAATTTACTTTCATCCACTATCTTGGACTTCTTAATAGCTATAATTTTTCCTTCCGACAACATCCCTTTATATACAACGCCTTGACCTCCTTCACCAAGAACTCGATTGGCATGATAATTGTCCGTGGCCTTTTCCAATTCCTTTGAGGTAAACAATTTTGTTTTCTCAACGCTCCCACCATTTCTTGTAAATAACTTCTGCTTCAGTTTGATTGCTTTCCGCTTTTGTATGAACTTGTACAACCACCGTGCTACAATGATAAGTAACAACATTCCAAGCCCAGCACTGAAACCTGCACAATTCAAGTAAAAGAATACATCATAAATATTCGCGAGTTTTGCGTCAATGGTACTAAAGAAATGTAAGGTATGTTGAAACAGAAGGACAATGATACTGGATACCTATGTTGATTAAATATTTGACTTGAGTTTTTTTTATAAATATATCGTCAGAGCTTCGTGAAGGAGAGCACCATGTTTCTTCATCTTCACTTTGACAAGGTTCATAACCATAAGGACACTCGGAGCAACCGGTGTTGTTCTTCGAAACACAAAGCAAGCCACCTACACAAAGTTTAATCATAATTACAAGTAAATGACTGTGGCTATAAACATAATTAATAGAGTACATCTACCTTTGCATCCTCCATAGCTGTCAGATCTTTGATTATCGCAAAGACAAAAGTAGTCTGAGTTTAATTGTATGACGCAGTAATCATCTTTGTTGCAACTTGTTTTGTGTGAATTGTAGAGTTCCACACATGAACCTCCATACTTTCCCCATTCCAGTTTTGCGGGAAGGACTTCTTTATCTTTCAAAACATAAGGATTTTTTAGGTAGTTTGACTCAAGCCAAGTTTTGTGAACCATGAAGGCTGAACTGCACTCCCTGGGAAAACCTTCAGAATAAATTTCTGACATGTTTTCATTTTCTAACTTACGGTTTCGAGGAAGGGTGCATAGGAAATCACAGCAACCATCATTTTTTGTAGGATCACAAGTGCAGAAAGAGTGGCAGTGACTTACGGTTGAATCTTTCTGATTGAGATTGAGGTAGTTTTCGCAACCAATGGCAGTGAATATATTGTCTGTATTCGAAAAGGAAAACGGGCTTCCGGATAGGTTGACGCTTGAATTGCGGGGCAAGTTGACGATAACAGAAGAAGAAGGATGAAGAGTTCTGTTTAATTCTAGATGGACGCTGTTTAGGAAAGCTCTTGGAGAGCCAGAAGAGTTGTCGCAAGTTACTTCAAACCACTTATTGAGGTAGCAGCCTTCACCGATTCCCAAAGGGTATGATATTTTGACATTGCCACAGCTATTTGGACATAAAATTTGTGATGCTTTGATTGGCCAAAGTAAGAGAAGGATGTGAAACATTAACACCAGACGATGAGGATGAACAGCCATTATTGATTCTCTTTAATTTCTGAATGGAATATTAATGGANATATTTAATTTGAGTATATCCAAAAATCTCAGTTATACATGCACTCTCAATATTGGCACAACCATTAAGTTTATCCTTTCCCTTTTTCAAAAGAAAAGAAGATAAAAGGGGACACAATGATGCAAAAGAATCTGACCCCACGTTTAGATTTTGTCCCACAAATGTCATACAAGAAAGCTCAGGCCACAATACAAAAGATATGCATGGCAAGTTTCATCTCACTTTTAAGAACAACTAAGGTTAGTTTGTTTTAATATTTTTACACTATCCTATTTTTATAATTATGAAAATACATATTTGTTTAAATTTTATTCTATTTTATTTAATTCTTTTAAACCCTTAGATTTGTAAATTTAATTAAACACCCCCAAAAACATTTAGAAATTAACAAAAATACCACCACTCACCCACATTTATCAGATTATGACTACTACCATCGGAAGATGGCCAGAATCTGGTATAATAGCACACTACCAGCTGGATCTAGCCAGTAGTATGCCAATATAGCCTTTTCCAGCCAGATCCATAGTGAATCTGGCTGAAAAATATCAGATCTTTGGTCATAACTAGTCGTCAACGATGACCAAGATATGACCGTCGTTGATCATCAACAACGACCATATCTTTGGCTGACAAGCAAGGGCGGTCAAATCTAACCGTCAATGGTCAGATCTAGTCACAGATATGGCATTTTCTGGTCAGATCCACGGTGAATCTGGTTGAAAAAGGCCATTTTGGTGCATGACCGGCCAAATCCAGTTGATACAACGATTCCAGCCACCCTCCAATGGTGATGGCTGGCTGCCGGTATTTAATAGGTAGGTGGGGGTGTTTTTATAATTTTTAATGTTTTTATTACAGGGGTATTTAGTAAATTAACAAACCTAAGGAGTGTTTTTGTCAATTTTTATATTCTACCTCGTTATTCCCACCCAACTCTTATTTTTTCAAAAATACTATCCAAAATACTAGAACAAACGGACCCTAAAACACTTAATGAACGAGAACTCAATCATTTGATACCACATATGATACTTGATAGTTGACTCTTGTTAACGTAGTTAGTCAAGTAAGCAATTAGAACTCCCTGTTTAGTTTACAGGAGGATGTTACTGAGAAGGTAAAATGTGTTTAGTTACTAAGTTGTTACTAATCTGTTACAGTTAGGCGAGTTCAGTTTGTTTTAGTTACATTTTATGAGTATCTCTGTTAACAGAGCACATGAAAGTGCTACTTACTGTACAGTCAAACTTGTGAAAACAATACATTCACGTGGCTTCTTGACTTTCCCTTTACTTTACTTGTTCTCTTTTCTTCTCTCAAGTTTAGTTCAAGAATTGTTATGGTATCAGAGCCATTAGACTAACGTAAAAAATGGTAGATCTATCAAGCTCACTCCCAATCGAACAACTCGGCCAAAACCAGATCCTCTGTTTAAACTACTGGTAGAACCTCGATTCTAACATTCATTAACTATGTAAGGGCAAAATAAGTATATTTCAATTTTTTTTTTTTTTTTTTTCAGTAAAGAATATTTTGTCTTTGCATAAAAAATGTTGTTTCAAATTAGGATTTAATAAACTACTGTTGATTTGAGGAGAGTATTTCTTGTATTTAAAAGATTAGGATTTCGACCCTACCGAACCAAGCTTAGACTAGAGCACATTGAGTCTTTTCTCTCGCAGGATGACATAAAATTAATGCAAGCCATTGTGCATGTACACTTGTAAATTGTTAAGAGGATATCTTTTTTCTTTATATATTATATATATATATATTATATTTATTTGGGGGGGGGGTTGGGGGGGTAAAACTTAATTTATGAAGAATGAAAGAATGTACCCCAAAAAGAAGACCCCTACAAAAGTCTCAGTTCCTTAGGGCCCAAATCAAGCAAAAAGAACAGAGAAGATGGATGGATTACAATCCACAAAAGCAAGCATCCTAGCCTCCAAGAGGACTATACAAAATGACCAGCATCTCAAAATAAAGCAGGCCAACGGGACAAACAAAAACAACAGCTGCACAATTTGTACACAGCAAACCAGCCTTCAAACCGGTCTGATAAGCTGTACAGAGCAAGTCAAGCAACAAAAACAACCAAGAAAAACACAGCACAGCCAGATTAAAAAACACCTACAACAGCCCATACACAACACAAGCCAAAGGCAGAAGGAATAAACCATGCAGCACAATCCCAGATGAAAGACTTCAGGATGTATTAAAATCATAGGAAGCAGTGCCAGCAGCAAAGGTACGCAAAACACACCACACACAAACACACAAAAAGAAAGAGTTAAACTGCCCAGGCTCTCTTCTATATATCCAACTCGTGGCTAGAGTATTTAGACGAGGAAGAAAGTAGTTTATTTCCATTACTATGGATTACCGATAATGTTTACATTTTCAGTAATAATTTATTTTTCCATCTAGTTATAGATTCTAATCTTGTTTGCATGATAGGATAAACCTTCTTTAAAGCAATAGTAATCTCATTCAAATCATGTATAGTTTAAAAAAAAAAAAAATTCAATGCTCTGCATAAATTTTACTGTGGCATTTGGGTGTGTCAATGCACTTTGGGTAGCTGACGTTAGTTGGACTTAATATAAAATTAAACATTGTTGAATATTTTGTCAAATTTATATATATTGTGTGTGTGCACTACAGTTGTGTGTGGGCATAGGTATGTTAGACATTTGATGTTTAGATTTTCGCATTTTATCTTTGAGTGTGTGCACACTCTTTTTTGGCTAATAACGCATGTCTAATTCACTTTGGCACATATTGGCGTGTTTACTTAATAGTTAAAATAATTTTTTTTTTTTTTGCATCTTTGTGTGTCATTTGAACCACTTACAGGGATCCAATATCCTTTAGTAGTCCAGGGAAAATCAATATTTTCCCCTTTTGGTTATGGTCCTAAACTAAAGCTAAAAACATTTCTATTTTTGGACCAATACATGTCAGCCTTTGTTTGTGACTTGGCCAGAATTGGAGTGCACGAATTGGGTTTATCTTCTCCATTCTTGCGACTTTGTTTGGCTAACCTATGTTGTTTTTGCTTGTGCTCTAAAACTTTTAAAGAGTTTATCTCTTAAAGGTTCCCGATATGTTTTTGTGCCAAACACTTATTATCCTTCATCTTTGTTGAGCTAAAAGAAAGTTCATTTTCTTCCTTGTTTGTTTTATTTTTGGACCTGAAATCTATTTCTTTGTTGCTTGAACATTTCAGAGAGTTGTTTTGGTTAAGTTCTTTATATGAGTTTGTGCTAGAAACTTTCTTGTTTATATTCATGTGTGAATGGCGGTTGGAACATGGTTCTTGTGATACTAGAGCTGTCTTCAGCAACTAAAGCTTGGGTGGAGCTCAAGCATTTTCCAGGAGTGAACTTGGTGTGAAGAGATGTGAAGCAAAAACAGCATTGAGATTCAAAGGGTAGTGTTTAGTGTAACTAGAACAAAGAGTTCTCTTTGTTGTAGTAAAACAACTTTAAACTATATCTTATAATGTTTGTAGATTAGTGGATTGCTTTGATCTGCACGAGGGGCCATAGATGTGAACTAAAAGTGGATTCAGCAGCCCATTGATATACTGGTGTGCTTTACTTTACAATTTCTTATTATTATGATTTGTTGTAAACCTGTTGTATTAACACAACTTGGTAAATCATTCCATTGCATCTTTAAAAGTGGGTACCTAAATATTAATAGAGTTCACAACTCTAACAGACATGAACAATATATTTAATTTGTTTCCTCCAAATATAGTTGCACCCATCCTCTTGCACTCTAACATTTCCAAAACCAAAAATTGTACGTAAATAATTAATTATAAATGCCCTCTCTCCTTGCCTTCAGCCACAAATAGAACAAGTACACGAAACACTCAGAACCTCTACGAAAAGAGAAGTGGTTTTTTTCAATCATAATTTTACACAGAGGAATTAGTTATAAAGAAAAGGCTCATAATTTACACAGAGGATGGAAACTTCATAAATCAATCTTGTGTGGATTGGTACACGTCTATTGAGAAAGTGACAACATCAATAAACTATCTAGCAAAGGTTAAACTATTCTCAAAGTGAGTAGTTAATTCACCATGAACAAATTAGTCTTTAATATTCATATGGTGCATACTTGAACCGCATCTTGAAGATCTGATCCCTCCCAATTCGTGTGTTACCTCTCTCATTGTAGGTCTATTTTCCATTTAAGTCAGACATTTTCTTGTGAGATTGGCGATGTCATAATCTCTTCTTTTTCACCTTCTTTCATAACTCGAGCATCAAGAATTTCAAACAGACGATTTTCTTTCATGGCACATAGAAAATATGCGGCAAGACTATATCTTCCTCGACATCAGTTGAAAGAATTGGCTTTTGTCCAGTTAAAAGTTCGGCAAGAACTACTCCAAAACTATAAACATCACTTTTCTCAGTAAACTGGCTCGACCAGAAATACTCTGGATCAAGGTACCCAAAAGTCCCTTTACTTGAGTGGTCAAATGAGTTTGATCAACTGCAATAGATCTTGAAGTTCCAAATCCGACAATTTTACTCGAAAATTTTCATCCAAAAGTATGTTTGTAGACTTAAATCTCGATGATATATAGGTATGGAAGCAGCTGAATGCAAATAGGTTAGCACACTTGAAACTTCAAAGGCAATTCGTAATCGTAGTTCCCATGTGAATGGAAACTCTCATTTTGGTCATGTAAATATTGAAAAAGATTTCATTAGAAACGAACTCATGACTAAAAGAGGCACTTCTGTTTCCAAGCAACACCCTACTAGTTGAACTACATTTCTGTGACTAATTTGTGATAGCAATATAACCTCATTAATGAATTCTTCAAATTTACTTTCATCCACTATCTTGGACTTCTTAATAGCTATAATTTTTCCTTCCGACAACATCCCTTTATATACAAGCCTTGACCTCCTCACCAAGAACTCGA